GGGTGGGCGTGGTTTCGCTATGATGCATCCAGCCCGTGGGCCAGCAGTTTGACACCCTTGTTCTAATTGAACTAAACATTTATTATTCAATTTTCCAGAGAAACCAAAACCATTCAAAATTCATAGTAGATTTCTTGGTGATGTCTACTGAAAATGTCACAGACAATTACAACAGCAGCTGGATAGTTTTCTTGAATACAAATACTTTCACATTATGTGAATCTCACAGGAGTACTCTGGTTGCAAAATGTGTTCCAAAATTAAAGTGTTTAATTCCAGTTAAAGTGGAAACTCTTATATATTCTTCTTTTCCTGAAACCTAAATGGTTTGATCGCCTTGTAAATATTATTGACATTGTTTTGGTTTGATTCCTTTCCAAAATATTGTTAGCCTTTTCAAAAATAACATTTAACTAAATCTCTTTGTAACTAAATAGGGGGGGGGGCTGTCTGCATATTTGCTTGCCGTTTTAAACAATTAATGTAACATTCTATTTTTTCCTATAATTTCCACACAGACATGGAGATTGAACTCAGACAATGTCTTGCTAATTGTTTCTTTTGTTTAAAAGAAAAGAAGCATAACTTTGGTACATAAAATATGAGCAGCATGTTGTTTACCAGACAGGACTTATGTGTATGGTCCTGATTCTAATTTATTATTGAGCTTCGGAATTTAATATTCTTTTTAGGAGTTACAGAATAAATGATAGATCTGCTCAGTTTACATTACTGATTGAAATCACAGTTTGTAAGCAATATTGCAGAATTTCTTTTACCAGGTTGCAGTCTGATGTACAAACATGATTTTATGGTAATTTGAAGACTAATGAATTTGTCGAAGCATAAACATTGTGGATTATAATTGCTTTTATAAAATATTTTAAGTTTTATCTTAATTAGGGAGTACGTACCATTTACATTATCGTTGAAATGGAAACGGAAATAAACAGTATGGTCCTACAAAAAAGAAACATAGGAGGTGCAGACGGGTTTTTTTTTTTTTTTTTTTGATATGGAGTTGGGTTTAACACAAGCATTCTTATAAGGGTGAGCAGATTAAAGCCTGTAGTAAGAGCTTTTGTTTAACCCATGAATAATAGATATGAATTGTTTGATGAATTCCTCCTCATATTTACACAATAAAATGGATCTTTCTATTTTTTTTACTCAGAAACTAAGCACCCTTTCCATCACATCATGTCACACAGAATGCAACATTCCTTTACTGTCATTTAGGTTGCCATTTCTAATGTCAAATTTATTATTTTCTTTTCTTATTTTGTTGTTATTTTATTTCAAACATGGCCAGATTTTTCGGTGTATAGTACTGATAATTCAATGCATTCTGTCCTGCTTATTCCTAAAGTGGCATGCAGCCTTTTTTTACTTGAAGTCCTGAAAGTGAGTTGTGCCCGCTGCCATAATTTCCAGTAATAATGGTCACTATGGTTGGGAAATTGTGGGGAATTAAAGAACATCAGATTCAAGAAAGTGACCACATAACATTGTGTCCTGAAGTTTCTACATTCAGCCTCCCTATTCTCTTGTTAAATATATAGCATAATTGATAAAAATTAAAATGTGATTTTATCAGGAAAGATTAGATGGAACTAGATATCCTTTGGCATAAGGCAATGTTTACTAAATTAAGTGTTAAATAGTCCGATGACTGGATAATTAAGATTTTGAATAGTTTCTGTACAGTATGATGGTTGCTTGGTTAGTTGTTTTTAATTGTTGTCTTTGCTGTTCATTTGATAAACTTTTGAGATTAAAAGTTGGCAAATATATCTAGATTACAAAGCAAAAGCCAAAATCCCAAACTCTCCAAGTTCTAGCATGTGTAGTTCAGTTTGTCCTGAACTGAATATGTCTCATATTGTTGTCATTATATGTCAAGCATATCCCCTTACACATATTTATATTTAGTCTATTGCATAATATGTTTAAATTTTGCCATGCTTATTGTTTTCTCTTTTAGCAAAAACATATTAATAAATTATATAGGCAAAAGAGTTGAACATGTGTAGACTCTTAACTGTCCACACAGGAAAATTGGATGCTACTTTATTCAGACTTAATGCATTACATTGCTTACCATATTTTTCGGCGTATGACTTGGCGTATAAGACGACCCCCGACTTCAGAGAAGATTTGCATGGTTTAGAAAGTCGTCTTATACGCTGGAAAATATAGTAATTACTTTGATAGCCTTAATTTCTGCCAATGGTGGATATTATCCTATTTCTAGAGTAATTTAATCTGTGCTCTCTCAGTCATAAAGTTTTATAAGGTGGCATGTAGGATGCTGAGAACTCTGGAACCAAATCACTACATGCCTCAGAAACACAGTGACTATAAGGTTTCAAACAGTTTTCAAATTAATAATGACTAAACTGACTTTAAAAACAAATGCTATCCTTCTAAAGAACTGTGGAATGCACATATTGATAGTTGAAGTTCTTGATAAATGCTTTCTCTTTTCCTCTATTCCCATAGTAATGGTAGGGAAGCCCTGTGGATTTTACTGCACTAGTCATTGCTGACTATATGGGGCGGTGCTCATGTCTGTTTCAAGGCCATTGAGCCAGTGCTGTCTGAAGACATTTCTGTGGTCAGGTGGCCACCATGTTGTCATGGAGTACTGTTATCTTCCCACCAAAGTGGTACTTATTTATCTACTTGCATTTGTATGCTTTTGAACTGCTAGGCTGGGGCAAGGATGGGAGATCACCCCGTTGCATGGAGCTCAGATTTCAAACCATGGATGCTGGCTTTCCAGCCGACAAGCCCAGCATCTTAACCGTTGAGCCACTGTAGCGCCCCTATTCCCATAGAGCAGTGGTTCTCAACCTGTGGGTTGGGACCCCATTTGGGGTCAAATGACCATTTCACGGGGGTCGCCAAACAAGGCTGTCCGCCATTTTTTCCCCCTTTTCTTTGGCCACGCCCCTGGCACCCGGTGATGTATAAGTGGTTGGGGGTCACCACAACATGGGGAACTGTATTATGGGGTCGCGGCATTAGAAAGGTTGAGAACCACTGCCATAGAGGAACTACTCTTTTTCAGTAGAAATTGTTCATGTTTTTGCTTGCTGAAAATAGTTTAATGGGATGAGGGGTGGGACTAATGTTTCTTGAAAAACATTACAGCAAACATACTGCTACCATTTCTTTATTTCTTCTTCCTTTTTGCTGTATTCTACATGTCAGGTAGTGAATTCTGTTCTCTGAGAGATATAGAATAAACTAGGTTGTATTCTACTGTTAGGTACTTAATCCTTCCTTTAGAATTAAAGTTTGAGGTTTTGTTCTTGTTATTTGATGCATCTGAAATTTCATATGGAGAACTTTAGGTGATTTAATTTCTTAAATTAAAAAAAATAATAAAATAAAATCATGTTGAAAAGTTTTAATGTATTTATTTATTGATTGATTGATTTCAATTTAATCAGTTTATATACAGATAATCTCTGAGTTATGAGCCTTCACTTAACGCTCGTTCGAAGTTACGTGATGAGCTCCCCCAGTGCTTACAAGCAAGTCCTGAAGTTACGAATATTGCAGCACCATGGCAGTCGTTTGCCCTTACGAGCGACCACAGTGGCTCTGCAACATTCACCTTATTCCCCTGGTCAAAAATATATCCATTAAGTTTGAAACACGGAGAAAAAATGCCTAGGATTTGAAGGCTTTGATTACTTTGTAGCACAGTGGACAAACTTTCCATATAATTATGGCTCCATTCTTAATGTCTGAGAATTTTCTGCCAAATAAGCCAGTTTAACAGATTAACAGATTAACAAGCTATATTACTGATCAGGTTAACATCATGGCAATATCCATAAATTCTTGTGTTCTATTACTAATAATATTAAGTTTATATCATACTTTTCCTGTGAGAACTGGAGATGGTTTACATAGGAGCCTCTTGTTGCCATAGAACCCACATCTATGAAGTTTACATTGGGGTGAGAATTTCTGATTGGCCCAGATCCAGTGAGATCCATTATGGATCTGAACTTGGTGTCCTTGGATTCTTTCCAGCTTCCTAAACAAATTTACATACCAGTTTTGTTTTTTGTGTTTAACTGGTAAATGCTTACGCTTATTACAATGTTTTGTAAAGATTATTCCTGTGTTATCAAATCCTTTACCCCTTATAATGGATATAATCTTGGGAAAATCACACCATTGCCAAAACATTTCTAGAGGTAAGTTAAATTAACAAGAAAATACTGTTGTATTGGGAACTTGTATTATTTTTTTCTATACATTTTGGATAGTTGATTTAAAATGTTACATTAAATTTTTAATTCTGTATGAGCTGACAGATTGGTTCAGAATTTTACATTCCCTTTCACCCCATGCCTCAAAATAACATTGATTCATAGACATCTTTGCTTTTTGGAAAACAAAGAAAAGAAAGAGGTTTATCATCTTTTTCAAAATTAAACTCCACTGCATTTTTAGTTGGTTGGGTTTGATCACATAAATTAGAAGTGACTTGTTGCAGCTGAGTGATTGTAATTGGAGAAAGCATTTTCCAGACTTCATATGTGATCTTTTTTTTTTCTGTGCCTGGACACCCCACTTGAAAGCTGATAAGACTACACATGTGTTTGAGGTCTGGAATGTCTATTGCCTAAGATGACAGGTTGGCAATTAGTAAATAATTTATATCTCTCTGTTTTCCAGCATACTTGACCTAGAAATTCTGCCATGAAACATGCTGAACTTGGGTTCAGGTAGAAGTCTTAGGGCCTCCTTTTAAAGGTTCCGCTCCCTTCTCTTTAAATGTCAAAATATACATGAGCATTATTAAGCTTCTCACTCATTTTCTTACTGGATTTTAATTTGGTTTGGAAAAGATTTTTTTCCCCAAATTTTTCTACTACTATTCCTACCAGAGCTTCTCTGCCTCATTTACTTACTTATAGGAAAAATGATAAGAATAATTTTGAAATGTGATGATATTTCTGCATTTCTTGTTACAGGAAAATTGTTCCATATGGGTTGGCTAATTACAGGGGAAATTTCCGGGTCAAAAGGTCCACAGAGCAGCTCCACAAGAGCTTGCATTCATCAGAAAGATCTCCATCACGCTGCTCTTGCACAGATCGAGGTGACAAATTGTGCATGCAGTTTTGCACATGGAATGTCCAACGGTAAGATACCTTGATATTTTGAAGAAATAACACATGGCTTAGCCTTAGGAGAATAAAAAGAGGTTTCCAACTCTTGCCCCTTAATATTAGAAACCTGATTTATTCAAGGAAAGTAATTAAGAGACAAATTGATGTTTTCAAATACTGTATTAGAGACTGAGGCTTCTTATTTCATCATTTTTTTATATTGACGAATACAACTAAATAATTTAAAAGCAGTTATTAAAATTCATTTTTATTTATTAAATAGATAATGATAACAACAACAACAGTGATAATAATAATAAGGGACCTTAGTGGTCATCTAGTCCAACCCACTGCTCAGGCAGGAAACCCTATACCATTTCAGACAAATGGCTGTCCAGTGTCTTCTTAAAAACTTCCAATGTTGGAGCATTCACAACTTCTGGAGGCAGGTTGTTCCACTGATTAATTGTTCTAACTGTCAGGAAATTTCTCCTTAGTTCTAAGTTGCTTTAATTTCCATCCATTGCTTCTTGTCTGACCTTCAGGTGCTTTGGAGAATACTTGATTCCCTTTTTTTGTGGCATATTGGAAAACTGCTATCATGTCACTCCAGTCCCCTAATCATCTTCGTTGCTCTTCTCTTGTACTCTTTCTAGAGTCTCAACATCTCATTATGTAGCCACCCAACTCACACTGACTCCACTGTAGCAAAAGTGTCACACAAATATATGTAAATGCATCTGTTAAACAATGGAAAACGTGGAAAGGTATACCCTTTCCCTTTAAAACACGTCTTTTATTCCTACAGAGCTAGTTATATCAGAAATGTCTTTCTGATGCAGAACTTGTTCAGAATTATTCAGTTGCAGTGTTTGTCTGAATACAGTACCTTCCCATCTATTTGGGATGGGAAAGCACTAGTTGTGCTGGGGGAACATAGGTGATCATGAAAATTCCCATACATGCTATAGCTGCATGGCATAGCATCAAGGCAGTAGCATTAGGGATATATCAGATTGGTTTGGAAGCTGAAGTTGGAAGACTCAGTTTAAATAATCACATTGATTTAGTTTGAAAATGCAAAATAATAGAAACATGTATGTTTCTGTGTAAAAATTCATTGACTTTTCAAATTGATTGGAAAGATAGATCAATTATCTGAAAGGCTGCTTGAAGCAAATCAAAGTTTTGGGTTGAAGTTTCACCCATCCCTAATGCTTATTGCCTTTGAGAGTGATTTGGAAGCTTTTTTTTGTTGTTGAGAAGATGCTGAGTAAACAGCAGAGTGGAAGATATAGTGTGAGCTTTTCAAAGCATCTGGGTGGCACTGTTGAAAGTGGAGAGAGGAAGTAGCTAGTCTTGATCTGATCCAATGTAGAAACTTTGATGTTCTTAAAGATTTCATCATTAGTGAAAGTTTTGGCACTGTTGGATAGTTCTGATCAACTGAACCCATGTAGATTCTTCTTTATCCTCCAATTTGGATCTTTCATTTTTTTGAAAACTTATTTTTAAGAGCAACATATAGATTCTTAAAATTATTTAGGTTTGTAGACAAAATAATTGGAAACTTGAGATTTTTCTTTCTGTTACAAGATGTCCTGAGCAGAGTATATTAAAAAGGCTGACTATCCATATTTCAGCTAAGACCAGGCAAGCCTTGATGATTATCATAGCTGAATTTATTGAATAGAGAAAAATTAAAAGAATATAATAATATCTCTGTATGATGTAGTACAGTGAAAAGAACAATGAGATTATCCTGTTGGGTGCTTTGATGAAATAAGGATGGGTGGTAATCATTGTTCAATATGAAATACTGTTGGTTCATGTTTCTGGCTCAGACCATGTCCCTTTGTTCAGCAGCAAATGATCAGGGAGGAAAAGAAAAAAAGAGAAGGAGAGAGTAGGAAAATGAGAAAATGGGCTGGTGGTAAGAGAGAGCTGGAGGGCAAGAAGAGAGAAAATGTTCTCTATCCTTAGGTTTGGTAATACTTGCTTAATCCAGCACCCTTGAAAAAAGGAACACATAAGACAGCAACTGGGTTTCAATCTTCTCTTTGGAATTGGCGAGATTTGAATCACTTATTTTTCTGCTTCCCTTCTTATGTTTACCTCACTTTTCAAGACATTTTCCACATAAGCTACAGTATATCTATCTATCTATCTATCTATCTATCTATCTATCTATCTATCTATCTATCTATCTATCTATCTATCTATCTATCTATCTATCTATCCATCCATCTATCCATCCATCTATCTGGTTATCTGTCTGTCTGTCTGTATCTCTATCTCTATATCTATCTATCTATATCTATATCTATCTATATCTATATCTATCTAAACAAACCTTCTCATCCCCAGCAATCATCTGAAGCAAATGAATCACCCAGCAGGAACAGCTCTCCTTCAAGAAGAAAAGTGTGCTCTTACCCAGTAACTTGGAAGAATTCCTCTGGTTTGAACTAGAGAAGTATGATCTATGTTAATTATGAGCATGTGTGGTAATGTAAGGAATCAGGAGATGAAACTATGAATCATCATTTAATGATGTATCTTTTTGTTGCTTTAAGAGTTACATTCAGAAAGATGCTTTGCTCCCTTTAAGTACCATTCTGAGAGATTTGTTCAGCTCTGCAATAGTATTTGTTCAGCCTTATATCCAGCCAACATTGGATACTAAAAGAGCTATCTTGTGCATAGGCATCTGGGAGTAAGCTCTATTGTAGGATTTTTTTTTTATTCTGAGCACTAAGATCTTTTGAGATACCATGTTTCCCCAAAAATAAGACTTACCCCGAAAATAAGCCCTAGCTTGAGTTTCTGGGTAGGCCTAATATATGTCCTGCCCCTAAAATAAGCCCTTCTTAAAAGCCTGCACAGTTGGTCGCCTGCCCATTCTATCTGGTTGGTACACATGAGGTGAGGTGAGGGGGGGGAAAGCTGCCCCACGCGCTGTGCACCTACTTACCTTGCCACAGGGCCCCCACAGCCAGGCCTCCCATGTCCTGACATCTGTCATGCCTTGTGGCAGCGGCACCAACAGCCCCGTCAAGGAGCCTGGCCACTGTCTCACTTCTGCGATCATTTACCACCACTTGCGCGTATCACCTCAGCCTCCATTTCACCAGCAGAGGCCTTCAGGAAAGGCCTCTGCAGCCCAGAATGGAGCTCCAGGAAGATGCGTGCGTCATCCCCCCCTGGGCCTCCATTTTGCTGGCAGAGGCCTTCAGGAAAAGCAGCATATTTATAAGGAAAGAGAACCTAGGAGGGAACAAGAAGACAAAAAGATTACTCTCTGTGGAAGGCTCCACAATCCCATTCTCTTGTTATATTCTGCTTTACTTTGGAAATTAAAGACTAGGCCCCTCCTGATTGAGAATCAATATGTGAATGTTTTAAAGAAGGCAGTAGAATATCTTCCGTTGGACTTGAATGTGTATCCCTGTACTGATTTTTTTAAAAACGTATCTCATATCTTTGATTCTTGTAGGAACATCCATAATATTCTAAAGTTTTATGCTTAATAATAATCTCAAGCCAGTTTCCTACAGTACTACACAACATTTTTTCAGTTGTAGGACATGACCAAAGGAAAAATGGAGATGGACTCATATCAGAAATTTCTTCTGCTACTACCTATAAGACTTCTGAGATTCCAAAGGGGAAGTTCATATTGGTCTCTAAGGCAGGGTTATATAACTTGTGTTCATTCTGAGAGTGTACTCAGTTATTGTCTAATGGTTGGATCTACACTTCAGGAAGTGGGTGCTAAAAGAAAAAGTGGCTGGAGCCAGGACTAAAAACATAATTGTAAGTGAGAGGAAACAAAATGAATTAAATCCAGTTAAGCTGATGCTGCCCTATGCATTTCATCACTTACTAAATTATTTACATTCGGTATTTTAAATTATTCTGCAGTAATAAAAATCATACTTCAGTAGCAGCATTTCAAAGGGTTCCAGAGGTAGTCTTTAGACCTCTGGGGGCTTTTAAGGGTTTAGGTTCTACACTTCTTCTCTAAGAGGTAGAAATTCTCTTCACTCCGGACATGATGCTTTTGTAAGGCAGGGATGGTTGAGAAACAATGAAAATTTGAAATGGATTTTCTCAAGTGCTACTCTCATGTTTTAGAATTGTGGGTTAACCCAATTACCCCTTTTCCCAGTCTCAAATAATATCATGAACACACAAACACAAACAAACACAGACACACATTCCAGACTCTTTGTCTTACCCAAGCATCTGGACAATGGCAGTCCCAAACTGGATCCTCATCTCACAAACAGTGAATTACATATTGCATCATTACCCCTAAGAGATATCCAAATCACCTTCTTGGGGGTAATTACTGCCAGGTTAAGAATTTAGAGCAGTGCTTCTGAACTTTGGCAACTCAAAGATTTGTTGACTTCAACTTCAGAAGCCATTCAGAAGATTTCAGAAGAAGAATTCTGGGAGTTGAAGTCCATACCTCTTAAGAAACAGTGACCTAGAGTCTGCAAAGTAATCACACTGTGTCTCAGGGTCTGTTTATTATTTTTCAAGCCATCTTTGGCCTTGATAATTGTCATACTTTTGTAATGTGGAATATGCTCAACAAATATATGTCCAAATGAGGCTTTTTCTTTAACTGTTGATAATATGCTTTCTTTCCAAGGTGAAACGTTGAGAACACTTCCTAAGATATGGAAGAAAAAAACCTCCTCACACAGAATCAACATTGTGCCCAAATATTCAGATGGATTTTCCAACAGTCCATGTTTCCTTTTCCTGAATGGTGGTTTTTTTCAAAGTGAGGACTTCACGTGCTTGAAGAACATTGTACTGACCATCATCTCTAACATGGTCACAGTTCCATGGGGAAAGATGATGATGATGAAGAATGATGGTGACGATTTGCCGCGTTAAGATTCAGAAGACAGCTCTTGCCCCCATATCAGAAATGCTGATGTATAATGAGGAAAAATACCACTTTCACTTGCTTGTTGTATATGTGTATACAAGTGCCTTATTTCCTGCAGGCTGATGCCATGAAAGAAATTGGTACAGTTTAAAAGAATACCTATATATGATGTCATCTCTTATATGCTAAAAAAAACCCACCCCATTTCCTAATCTTCAACCTGTCCTTTTGTAATTTCAGTGACATTTTTTAAAAATGACAATATCTATGCAGATGAAATAAGAATGGCTATTAATATTATAATATATAGCAAGCTAACAGAATTGCATATTTCTTAGATTATTGGATTCAAGAACTGATCCCTGCAATAAAATTGAATTTTAAAACAAATCTACAGGATAAATTTTGAGATAAGGATTCATATACTACAGTTATCTGTTCAAGCCTAATAGCACTCCAAAACCCTTCGTTCAGTCTAAACTCTGAAAGATTAAAAATACATTTTGCTAATGACAATCAGGGATACAATCCTTCATTTTAATTTCTAGAAGGGCTGAGTAAACAATTTTTGGGAGTTCTGACATTACTCCTTGAAGTTATGATATTTCAACATAGCTGAAGAAAGGGCGCAGAATAGACCCTGTGACTGGAATTGATTGCATGTTGATTTAAAGAAGATGTCAGGAGGCTATTGATTTGGCATTTGTTATTCAAAGAGGAAAAAGGAGTGCACTGGTTGGAACCCTTTCGAAAAGCACTTGATTAAAAGTGGGATTTTCCCACATATATAGTGCTATAGTTTATTAGAAGACAACTATTACAGCTCTGAGCTGAATTCATTAACTCTTGGATCTACTGCAGAACAAATAAGCCAAGAAAACCAAACTAACTCCCAAATTGGCTGTGTAATATTTGCAAAATGATACTGGACTTTTTGTTTTGTTTTGCAAAGAGAAGAAGAGATCTTGTATTAAAATATATATAAATATATATATATATATATAAATGTGTATATGAGTATATTACATAAATAAATTATTCTAATTACAAAAGTAAGATATTTTTTGTGTGTCATATTTCAACTAGTTTTCTATTTTTTGACATACTTTTATGGTTTCCCGTTGAAGTTATATACTATTTATTATATTGAAAAATATCTTCTTGAGTATTGTGTGTTTCTTTAAATAAGGTGATCCTGAACACGTATTACAACTGCTGTTAAGTGTAAAACATAGTACCAACCAATGACTTAAGTCCCCTGCCTTCTGTGCTCACTTGTGTGGTGCTTTGTATATGGGTGATTATAATGAAATACAGTCATTCTTTATTGAAAACCCAGTGTAAAACTTTAGGAGAACATATATGTAAATGCAAAGCCCTTATAGATACAATCCTTCCTTCTCTCCATCTATTCCCTCTCCTCCCCCTCCCTTCCCCTTTCAATCAGCTGATCAATCAGCTTGACATAAATACCTGTGAAAATCTTGGAGAAGATAATCAAGTAGTGTGTTTGTGAGCACCTAAAAACAAAACAATTACTAGAAGCTAGCATGGGTTTATCAAAAACAGATCATGCCACGCAACTTTATTGCCTTCTTTGACAAAGTGACTAAATTAGTAGATAATGAAAATGCTGGCGACATAGTTTACTTAGACTTCAGTAAGATAAAACAGTGTAGGATAGACAGTTCCACCACTGGATGAATTTGTAACTGGCTGACAAACCACAATCAAAATGTACTCCTCAATGGAACTACATCTACTGTACATGGATAGAAGTATGCAGTGGGGTATCCCAAGATTCTGTTTTAGGCCCAGTACTCTTCAACATCTGTACAAATGATTTAGATGAGGGGATAGAAGGGGAACACATCAGATTTGAAAACGACACCAAGCTGGGGGGAAATAGCTAACACTATAGGAGATAGACTCAAGATTCAGAAGAATCTTGGCTGACTCGAATACTGGGCCCTATCCCAAAAAAATGCAATTCACTGCTGAGAAAAGAAGGATCTACCTATAGGCAAGAAAACCAAATGTACAGATATAAAATAGGAAAATGGTCTGACTCTACAGTAGAAACTATGAGAGGGATTTTGGTGTCCACCACTTAAATATGATCCAGCAGTGTGTTGTAGCTGCCAAAAAAGTTAGTGCAGTCCTATGTTGCGTCAATGGAGCAATAGTTTCAACATCTCTTGAAGTGATAGCATTGCTTTATAATGCACTGGTGAGACCAGACTTGGCATACTGTGTTTAGTTCTGGTCACCATGATACAAAAAAAGACATTGACACCTTAGAAAGAGTGCAGAGAACAGCAAAAAAGAAGATAAGGGATCTGGAAGCTAAAGTCTAGGATGACCGATTGAGGGAACTAGGTATGTCTAGTCTACTGAAGAGAAGGACTAGGGGTGATATGATAGCAGTGTTCCAATACTTGAGAGGATGTCACAGAGAGGGGGTCAACCTATTCTTCAAAGTACCTGAGGGCAGGACAAGAAGTAATGGGCAGAAGATAATTAAAGAGAGATCCAATCTAGAAATAAGGAAAACATTCTTGACAGTGAGAACAATTAATCAGTGGAATGACTTACCTCTGGAAGTTGTGGGTGCTCCATCACTGGAGGTTTTCAAGAAGAAACTGGACAGCCATTTTTCTGAAATGGTATAGGGTCTCCTGCCTGAGCAGGGGGTTAGACTACTAGACCAATCCCCTGCTCAAGACCTCCAAGGATCTTTCCAACTTTTATTCTATGTTCTATGTTCTAAAAATCATCAAGATGTGATTGAACGAAAAGCATCTCAGTTCCATTCTTCTGCACAGCGTGAAAGATCAGGGTTTGAAAGCTGGCAAAATACTGTTTTCAATCACGGGGAAACAGGAATTGTTGTCATGGGAAAATGAACAACCCTAAGTATAAAATCAGAAGAGCAGTGATTTATGGTGTATGGCAGCTCGGTTGGGAGGAAAAATGATCCAGCTGCTGACAATAGCAGCATGGAATCACAGAGGTATGGAGCAAATTAAAGAAGTGCTGAAATACTGCCTGTCAGGGTGACTTGTTTCACTGATAAAGGAAAAAAGCAATATGTCTCTTGGGTTAATGTCATACATATTTAAAGTTTAAATGCAATCCTCCATAGATTCTTGAAAAAAAGCAAATATATTTTTTAATGTCTGCTGCTGTAATATAATGCTTCATGACAGGCATGCTTGAAGATTCAATACATTTTTGCTATATAACATTGCTCTAGAAATAGCATTTGCTCTTTGTTAATATAAAGAGCATTTGCTCTGCCTTAGTATAAATCACAGTTCTCAGAAAGACTTTTAAAAATGAATTGGCCTCAGTTCTGTTATTCTCATCAAACTATTTATTAAATAAAGGAAACCAAAATGACTCTCCCCAGTAATATCATTTTATATTTTTTCTTGTCTAGGTAGCCATAAAACAAGGAAATTCTTTTTTAAGTGAAAAGAATTCTTAATGCAGGTGTGAGTCTCTTTATTTTAAGTTTAATAATAAAAAAATCCCTTTCAATGTGTTAAATTTAAGGGTTATTTGTCCAGATAATAGAGCTGGTGGCCTTCATGCAATAAGTAAGTTTAGAACTTTTGGTTTCCATCAGTTAGATAAGATACATCATTTTATGCTTTGCTTGGATGATTTATCTCAAATGCCATAAATACAGAATATACAAAACTAGCTCTTTTAATATAACCAAAGGACAGCAAGCATTTTCAGATAGAAGTCATTTTTGTGTGTGTTGTAGCATGGTTTCCCTTTAAATAATGCCAGATGCTCAAGAAGAGTTGCATTTGTAGGTTTCTTGATGTTCTCAGAGTTTCTCTTCCTGCAGACCAAGTGACATAATCAGTACAGTAGGGAGTAGAGCAGGGGTCTTCAAACTTGGCCCTTTTATGACTTGTGGACTTCAACTCTCAGAATTCCTCAGCCAGGCATGCTGGCTGAGGAATTCTGGGAGTTGAAGTCCACAAGTCATAAAAGGGCCAAGTTTGAAGACCCCTGGAGTAGAGTTTGCTGTCTATTTATATATATAGCTGCTTGTCCTTCCATCCTTGATTGGATCATTGTTTCTCCTTTGGTTGCTTTGGGGGGAGCTGTTGACATTCTAACTCCCTTTCCTATCTTCTCGTTGTGTGAGCCAAACTGGATGTTTACAGCCCACTCCATCCTTCCAGTATACATGTGCACATAAACAGAGATGCAACATGAGCAGAAACACATAGACACAACGTATTAGTTTGTAACAGAATCACTTTTCAGAGGGAGATGGGTGGTACATAAATTAAATAAAGTAAATAAATAAATTGGAATGAATTCTGAAAGCCACAGAACAGCAGCATTTCCCTGCATTCTTACCCTAGCATGGGTGTCAAACTCACAACGTCATGTGACGTGTCGCAACATATCATGACTTTTTTGCCTTTGCCAGCAATGGGGTGGGTGCAGTTTCACTATGATGCATCTGGCCTGCGGGCCGGCAGTTTGACAACCCTGCCCTAGGAAATGACAAAGGGGGCTTTACTACTTGCCTGTCAGCAAACAGAAATATTAATAAAGTGGGACCAAATCAACTGTTGGAAAAAAGACTGCCCCTTTTCCTGAAAAAACGTTTAAAAAGCATTGGAGCTAACTGAGATAGTATAGAAAACAAAATGCTCCAAAGAATTCTGGGAGAAACATTTGGGTTACAGTTCACAACATTACCTACACTTCCATCCTAAGCCTCCCTTCCTCTTTGCTCCAGATTGTATGAGCAACAGCAGAAATAATGTTTAAAGGACTAAATTAAATCAGTAGTGCTCACAAGTGAACATTCAAACAGGGACACAGAAAATATTCATTTGAAAATGGATTATACTGTCTTGAACAAGCTAATCTAATTTCTATGTTTTTTTAAGAAAGGTTTTCAGGTTGGAGATCCAGGCATGTCCCCAAACTGCAAATCTCTTACATGAGGGATAGTTTAAGATGGGATTGACTTGAGTACGTTTAAAATATTTATAATTGTTTGAAATGACTTTGCGCCAAATGTTAACTCTGAAAATGTACTGCCTAATAAACTAAGAGAAGAAAGCTGATGTACACATCATCAATAACAAAAGGAATTATTCCCCACTCACAAGGATTTAAGGCTTTTGAATGCATTGGTTGGAAGCTGCTAGCTAGGGCAACAGTAGGAGCACTTAAACACAAGGAACAAGATAGATGTCTGCTGTCAGATTTTGAAAGAAAATAAGTGACATACTTCTAATCT